ATGGGATCAAAGGCTACATTTTAATATATATTTTTTGGGGTAGATCTAAGTGTTTATGGCGCTCGTAACTGCAGGCCATATATGAGCACGTGGGACACATTAGACATTTTCAATTGGTAGGAAATTTTGAATTTTGCCCGGGTGGCGGCCGAAGCCTGCATAACTCTTATCGATTTGGGACCACCAAGGAATTTAGTCATTAACGTGCGCAACTGGCACACAGGACCTCCGAGACTTTTCGCCCTTGTCCGAGAAGGCTAAGTGTAGATCTTTCCTATCATAAGATCAGGGGTGTGGCTGAAAGTAACTGAAGGAACCAAGGAGTAGCAGTAGAAAGGCTGCAGAAAGAGCCAGGAGCCCAAAAGGAGGGGGCAAAGAAGGTGAGGGGGTGGGCGGGACAGAAAGTTCGAAGTCGAAAGCAGACGACAGAACTTATCGTGTATATACGGGGTGCCCACTGCGGCTCATGGATTTCGGGCCGATCGCCTGACTCGGTCGCTTGAAACTGAAAAAACCACGTTGGTTTTTTAGGCGACAAAGTCGGGCGATCGGCCCGATCGTCCAATCCCATACACAGTGGGCACCCCGTATTTAGAGAGCAGGAACGGATGTGAAATGAGAACATTCTAGAGAAAAGAAAATTTCCGTCGCTATCCAGATTCGAACCCGCGACCTATTGAGTCAGAGGCGAACACCTAAACCTCTTGACCACATAACGAGCCCCTAGTAGAACTTCAATGTAATACGGGGTGCCCACTACGGACGGGATCGGCCGATCGAGGGCGATCGCCCGATTCGATCGCCTGAAACTGAAAACAAACACGTTTGTTTTTGAGGCGATCGAGTCGGGCGATCGGGCTGATCGGCCGATCCCATCCGTAGTGGGCACCCCGTATAAGAAGATCCAACAAAAACGTTTCCTCGTTCAATATAGTACATTGTACACTATTTAAATAAATGACGTGAGGAGCCCATCATGTACACAATGTTCAGAGACAGCAGTGGCTACATTCTGTCATCAAGTTTCTTTGTTTACCTCGCCTCTGAAAAAATCTAAGAGAATGAACAAATTTTAACGTAGATCTACATGTATTTCCAATAATTAGCGACCCATTAAAATGCTACATGTATTTGAACACCCCTCTTTTTGGGTATTTTGTTTACGAAAGACGGGCGTTTGAGGTGTAGCACTTGAGCACTTCACTGACTAACCGAGAAGACCTGAGTTCGATTCTCATGTGGATAGTTTCTTCTTTCTTTCTATTTAAATTGAATCTCCGCCTGACTATTGCGACATATCCCACTCAAATCGGGTTAGTTGGTAGGTGTTCTGGTGTGGCTTGCTCCACATAATTCCCATCAAATAACTATCGTCCTTTTCTCAACTCTTTCTTTTTATTTGTATGTCACTCTCAAATAACACTTCTTCGGCACTTATATGGTATACATGTATTTGTGTTGCAAGTGTCACTAAGATATAGGGTGACCCTGACAGGCAGGGCAAACCCCTCCTCCTAAATTATTTAAATTTTGTAAAACACCTTTATTAAAGGACCCCCCCCAAAAAAACAACAACAACACAACAACAACAACAACAACAACAACAACAACAACAACAACAACAACAACCCGTGAATAGACCGAAAACTTCAGAATGATGACTGCTCTTAGTTCAGCATTTGATTTAAACGAGCTTGAAATAGTTCTACCTTTTTATATGCACTCTCTATGATACAGAAACGCATATATGTGCACCCATATATGCCTCTGACCCCCCCCCCCCCCCCGCCCCCTCTCTCTCTCTCTCTCTCTCTCTCTCTCTCTCTCTCTCTCTCTCTCTCTCTCTCTCTCTCTCTCTCTCTCTCTCTTACCCACACGCACCTGTACCACACGCACACAAGTGTGAGCGCATCTGGCTCAAAGCCTCTGTTGCAATTTGGAACAGGTCGAACACGGAGCAATATCAATAACATAATTATTGACATTGTTGAACATGAAACTAGTTTTTAAACATCTTTAGACAAAAGTTCCAGAAGTTATAAACCTTTTTACCTGATATTATTCTCTAGTGTAGCGTATTTTCACAAAAATTATTATCTTTGGCACTGTATGTGGAATATAGCCGATGTATCAGCAAAACATGACGGATAAATATATGTAATTGCAATATTTTGCTGCAATTCTTATAATATTATTATGTTCTAGTAGTATCGATCTTTTTTCAAGCACCGACTACACAGACCACACCGGTGTCTGAGGCGTGAGGAGGTAGCCTAGGCCTAGGCCTCTTGGGCGGGGGGAGGTTTGTCAAAACCCAGATTTTTTGTCCAATAACATTTACTGCTAAAAACATACTGGGAGTCGCGCTGGCTTAGCAAAGTCATAACAATTATAAGAGCCATAACCAAACCCAAACCTTTGAGCCATAACAATTCTTTTTCTTTTTTTCGATGGTATTCATCAGACAAATGAAAAATATTGATGCCTGGTCAACCCCAATGCCGGACATTTTTAAAGATAACGAAAATAAACTAGATTTCTAGCGCCGAGAAGGCAACAGAAAAACAAGAAGTCCGATGAGAATTAAGTGCTGAAAGTGAAAGGAGCCCGTGATGGGACTGTCTAATAATACAATTGGGAACAGATCAAGGAGGTTTGTTGTATGGTCCTTGGAACAGAGATACATATAACAGATACACGATAAAGAATAGGCCTACTTGAATCGATCCTGCTTTCTCTGGAAAAAGGCGAAATTAATTACAATTAGTCTGACGGTCGGTAATTAAACCAAGGAATAATAAATGATTTACCATAGCAAGAGCTAGAACTTGAACAGCATATTATATATGTTGCCGGAAATTGAAGACTAGGCAAATGTTAATGTGGTTTTTATTGATTTTTTGTTGTTCTTGTAAATTCTTAAAAGCAGGGGGGGGGGGGGGGGGGGGGGGCTACACCTGAAGGCTGTGATTTCGCTTTTTACCTGACCGAATTTTACCAAATTTCACACAAGCATAGTAAGGATTCGAGTCTTAAAATCGGCAATCAAATTTGAGAAAAAGTTTTGTTTCCATGGATACGGCGGCCATATTTTGGATTTTGTTGACATGTCTTACGTAATGAATGGAAATTGATTGTTTGTTTTTTTGCATGCGTGTTCATAAACATTAGATCTAAAAATTCGTTTGTTGTTTTTTTCCTAAAGGAATTAGAAAATTTTTAATGATTTTTTTCCTGAGGTAGCATCAAGTTTGCAAAAAATCCGTGAAAATCCACACTCCAGACACCACCAACAAAAATCTATTCCAAATATAAAAAATTCAACAGACAAATTTTTAGTATTACATCTTCTCTTCATTCTGTGAACATTTCAAAAAGATAAGATGAAAAATGGTGGAGTTATTCGAAAAAGTATAGAGAAAAGTCACGTTTTGAGAAACCGGCCGATAAAGAAAAATAAAATGCTGACTTTATGAGGAAACGGCGGTAGCAAACATGCCCGGTATGGGTAAAATACGGTTTTTGGGGGTTCTTATGCGATGAAATAGTTGTAGGAGAGGCCGAGGATGCTAAAAATGCCTACAGCTCAATTCCATAATCCCCCCCCCCCCACCCCTTAAATTAAAGGGCTCCCGAGTCCCGAACAGAGACAGTTGATGGCGAACCGCGATCGCCCCTGTTCTGGACCTGACATGTGATGTAAGCTCCTTGTGACCGTTCCATAGCATTATTATTATTTTTATAAATCATTCAATTGCTCATCCCCTGAACATTTCGTTTTAGTGAAACGCTGGTAGCCTGGGCCTATACTATTGTTTGGTAGGCCTATTGTTTGTATCAGGAATTAAATACTCTCTGTTTGTACACTTTTTTTTTCAAATTTGTAAACAGGAAGAAACGAAACGAAATAAATTGACCCCGTTACATAAACAATAACAATAAACAAAAGCCACGGTACGCCTCTTCTCACAGCCTGGAGGTATGCTATTGTTACTACAGGTTATGTAAAGGGATTTCAAAAGGTAGATCTTGTTCCCAGCTCTGGATTAAGTTCAGACATAATAAAAGAGTGGAGAAACGTGACTCAAAAATAATTATAATTGAATTGAAGGGACGCCTGTCGCGCAGATGTAAGCAGCCGCGACTGCACGGACTTTTTTGTTGTTTTTGTGTGTAATTTCTCAGTCGGGTAGATACTAGAACTATCTAAATCTAGAGATTCTCCCGAGTGCATTCGAACTTAACTAGATCTAGGTTTAGATGTAGATAGGCCCTAAGCTGGCAGTTGCAAGGAGCTGCATACACTTACGTCTACGTCTCTTGAAGTGATTACACTGACTTGGACTGATTTTGATTTCATTTTCCAGTCTCCATTTATAAATTTTCGGTAAATTAAATTCGTTTGGTGAAAGTTAAGCAGCTTAGACTTGGCTAGATAGGTCTTTACAAGAGCAGCACTTTGTTTTGATGCAGTGTTCTCCTCCAGTGCTTGCACAATACAGTAACAACTTTACACAGCTCTCAAGAATTTACTTGGAACCCTCCTTTTATCACAGCAACCTCCAGCAGCCTGCTTGAACTTGAAAGATGTTGGTCGTCAAACAGTGGATGTCATTTCTCTTGAAGATCTCGATGTTTTTTGTCACAATGAAGTTTGCCACCGCAACCAGCTTTTCAGACCTTTCAATTGGAGGCAGAGGTGCGGTCACAAATAAGCTCACAAGAATAGGAAGACCGGCCCTGACTTTTGTCAAGAATTTTCAGTGAGTACTACTTTAACTTGGCATTGAATAGATATATTTATTGAACTGTGCCTTTAGTTAAATTGATTTTTACTTTGCCCCCAAATTAAGGGACGCCAATCGGCGACGGTCTGATATAGCGTGCACCTCATCTCCTGGTCCGTGGGGATAAATGTTTGGTGGGTGGAGAGTGTTAAAGAAGTTCTGGCCTTTGAATAAAATAACAGAAGATTAAAACTGAGGTTGGGTGGTGAGTTTAACAGGGACTGAAAACCCATCCCCCAAGGAATATAAGGGGTGGAGCAGTGTAAATTATATATATGACATATTGAGGTCAGATTATACCTTTCTCCATGCCATGCGTTCCAGATAAGAAAGAAAAATACCCTATGTATTTTAGATACCAGGTTCTGCTTGGGCTGGGTGGATGGGTGGGGCATGGGGGGGTGGGGGTGGGGGGGGGGGGGAGAAGAGGTTCTAGCCTACACTCAATTTCAAATGAAATGGAGACATCATGCAAGAAAAAAGTTTTGTCATGAGTTAAGACACTTTTGCAAAACTGAAATCAATCCCAGTGAAATGCTGAAGACCTACGACTGGTCAGCATGAATAAGCTTGTGGGTGTATCTTCTAAAAAACATCTGCTGGCTTGTCAGAAAACGTCTCTCATATAAGTTGAAGGACTGGATGATGTTTTGCATGAGATGCATGTTGTTTTGCAGGTAGAAGGTGCAGGTGCAAGAACACCACTGTGTATTCATGTTTTACACTCAAACTGTGTACAGGATTATTTACTGGTTACAGTCAACAGTATTTTACATAATATGTCCTTTCTTTTTGTTTCAAATCACAACCCTTTAGCTTAAATACGTGTATAGTCATTGTGCTCATAAATGTGATAGAGAAGTAAAATGTCATGGTGATATTTTGTTGGATTAAGGAGTGAAATGGTAATAATTTAATGCCCCTCTCAACTTTAGTAGACTATTAGGTTATTTAAGAGGCTGGACCTTTGAGTTAAATGTCCATCTCTGAAAAGACAGAGCCAAATAGGAATTTAATGTAAAGTGTCTTTCCGAAGGACACAACATTATTGGGCTGAGCTTAGGCTCGACCCCCTAATCCTCTACCTCATGATGACGGATTCTGTAACCTATCCATTAGGCTACTGACACCACCTTTTGGATTAAGTGATGAGTTTCTAGGTACATGACTATAACAGCACAGTACAAATACAGTGGAATTCACTAACCTGGACACAGTTAATTTTAAAAATAGGGGTAAACCAAAATTTTTTAAAATAAAATCTCCTTTTTTTCCCTTCTATTTGAGTGACTTCTTTAAAAGAAAATTTATAAAATCTCCTTTTTTCCCCATCTATTTGAGTGACCTCTTTAAACAATAAAAAAATAACCAGCTAAACCATTAAACAGACTCCACTGATTCATGAGTAATGCTTTTTTAAAAACTGGGTAGCACTGTATGAATTGTATTGAACTACTTTTTCGAACAGAATTTCTGAAGGAAAGCCTCAGTATTCAAGTACAACTCGTGGGAAGAAACCAAAGTTCTGCAATGAACTTGACTGCCCTGACTACACAGTTGTCAGTGAAACTGATGTGAGTTGCTTAAGTACTTTGGTTTCTTATCGCTCATCCGCATAGCCTTATCATACATTCGTTTTAACTTTGAAAGGACAATTTTATTGCAGTTGGATGAATCAATCTCTTTGCAATTTGTTCTTGATGAGGCATTTTATATGCTTAAACGTAAAGCATGCTTAACAGAGTTTTTAACTATTATGTTGCAATAATTTAAATTTCATAAAAGAAATTGATCAATGAGGAAATGATTTGGTTTAAACTATTTGTCAAAATCTTTGTGTGTCTTGTATAAATTTGCTCTATATTATTTGACATTGATTTTAGTGCATTTTTTTGCATTGTTTGAGTGCATTTTTTTTTTCATTTTGAAGAAAGGTACTTAGATTTGGAATAAAGAAACAGGCGTGTATTTTAGCATATATATATA